GTTATTCCAAGTATTCATGTAAGTCACATTCTCAATGCCAAGGGTTTGAATGGTGTGTGCTGTAAGTAAACACTTGTGCCAAAACTAACTAAAACTCAATTCTCTCAACTTTAATTCTTAAAGGAACTTAGTCTTTATCCTTACTTAAATTAAAGTAAAAAAAAATCAACTGTTCTGGGAAATTATATCTTGAAAAGATGGAAATTAACGGTGAAGATACCTTGTTGCGTATACTGCCAAATCTCAACGGAGATTAGTTCTTGTTATAGTTACTAGCTTAGAAATGTTGATATAAACTCTAGGCTTAAGCTTTTTAAAGTTATTCATTCCTTCTTTTCAAGAATATTTCTTAGTGCAAATTCTATAGCGTACAGCATCTCATTTTCACAGCTATTTATTGAAGACACGGTAAAATCTGATTTCGGTATATTCATAAACCAATTAATATATTGTTTCTTGCTGTAATAACACTGCTTAGAACCTGTTTGCTGCTATGAAACTAAATTAGTACCTTACGATTCAAATGAGTTATTGTAAAAGCTAAGTTTTTCCTTGTTCAACTTCCTTATTATAAATTGTTGGAGTGAAGCACTTATGAACCATCATATTGCTTTGCTGAAGCTTTACATTTGAAATGTGCAGCTGATCCTGAAACTTATCAGTCATAAGATACCAAGTCCTACTGATAACTTCTCGCACAGAGATCACTGAAAATAGCATCTTTGAGTGACGTTACGAAAGAATGACATTCACTTTGAATATTGACAGCTATCGTTTGTAGAAAACACTAGAAGATGCCAGAAAAGGGCAGGTGGCAATTGATGTGCCAAATATTAGCGATGTTGAAGGAAATGGAAACACATCGACGAAACGTAAACGGCATCGAATGAGAAAGAATAGCGGTGAGTGATATTAAATCATCTGCTTTTTCTTTTTCGTCTTAGCTGATTCAGAATGTATCCTCTTTAGCAGAACTGCCGCCAATGATGACTGCACCAAGGCATGTGCATGGTGGCGATTGGAAAGATATGCTTTATATGACAAATCTGCGACAAAAGAAGGTTTAATCAATTCACTGATCAATGCTTAAACTTTGGAAAAATGCGACTTTAGTACAAAAGTTGACTAGTAATCAAATCGAAAATTGTGTAAAAGTTCTAAGTTTAATGGTCCAGAAGATGTTACCGAGAAGCTCTGACATTGTTACGCATAAACTGGTCCCCGGCAATGGCATATTTTGCAACAAACAAACTTAATGGACTGTATTCGTATAATCTATGTACTGTCCACGTCTGGCGAAAAGCTTGACAAGTGAATTTCGAGAACATAATTCAAGAATCCCTGAACTAATAGAAACCTTCCCGCACAAATCCATAAAACGCACTTCTTTTTGATTCAGCGTGGAAATTCGGAAGTCAGTCAATCCTCAGGCTTTAACGTTGTACGCTCGAGAGCCTCTTCTTCTTCCGTGGTAAGTGCATTTAGGAATTCTATATTGTGAAGACTATGAGAAGTTAGAAATTATACTTATTTTTATATGTAGAATTAGGTAGTACCTGTTCGTATCGTACAAGTTTAGAAAAGTGGAAATGCATGGATTGAACGCAAAATTAAAAAACGGGAATGTTCGAAATTTATGCCATCCCAGAAGTACTCGACAAGGTAAGAAGCTGCATTAAAAAAAGGGCTTCCTGAAACAATAAATTCAGATGCGGTTGTGGCATGGCAGAGGCTCAACACCCCCAAGAAGCTCGTAAACCTTTGTCTCCGCACAAATTTCTCACTCTTCCCGGAGCTGACGATGAAACGACAAACGAATCTGATAGCCATGAGCCAGCAAAGGTTTGTACTTGTTCTTATTTACCGTAAATGTATGCAATTCAAGTGCATTTTTCCAGAGTCATGGAAAGAAAGCACACGGGCTGAGATGGACCATTGGAAAGAACACAGAACTTGCCCCTACCAATTGCTATGGATCAATCGTGTTTGAAGGTAAGATGAACTATCGATAAAGATGTCCTTTTTAGAAGTCATAAAAGTTTGAAGTCAGGAATTATTTTAATAAAGTAGAGTTAAGAGAAGTTCATATCGATCAAATCACAAACGCCATAATGTGAGGAGTAGCAATAGCTATAGCATGTACTTTTGAAACGATTTTATCAGAGTA